TCAGAGGAGTGAATGGTCTGGGAGATTGGTAACCAATCTGCCTCTCAGTATCCTAAACAGAAACTGTGGCATCGACACAGGGAGCCAGTCCCGGCTACAAGGTCCATGGTAAGTTTAATTGAAGTTTGTGGTATTAATTCATGCACTGTGTAGACATCCTCATGTGTTGCTTGATAAACCCAAGGTACATCTCATGGCTAGGAGTGGTACACTGGCTGCATAGACAAACACAGTATTGCACAGATAGTCTTCAGTATACGGCAATACCAGTACACTTGATCAAGGCATTGACGTGTTAAAAAATTGATACTAATCAGAGAACATGATAGAAACAAATTGCAGATACTGCAACTAAAGTTCTCTTTTATGAGGTAAAAAGGTTATGTGATGGAGAGAGGCTTGTATGGATAGGTTGAAAAATTTCGCTGCTGCTGGCAAAAAATGGCTTGGTTGATGAAGCATTTTGACACATGAGCTTTGTGTCAGGGACTAGGTTTTGCTAGCTTCATTCTTGCCAGAACCTACAAGCATCACGCAGGCAAATCTTCACCGACACCCAGAGAAGGTCGGGCAGAGAGACAAAAGTTCACTTTGATTGTTGTTAAAACAAACAGCACTTGTTTGCTGTATAGTCATATGATGCCTGCTTTTACCAAGTATGTAGAATCAACTTGTGCTGGTTTACACAGCATGTACATGTACATGTATGGATGCTTTTACAAAAGGTGACATAGTTTATCCTGTCAGTGAGTGACAGGTACCGGGTATTACATCAATCCATGTTATCAGTAAAACTCCAGAGTCTTGTCCATGGAGATCAGATCATGTAACCAGAATGGATAATGTGAGGAAGTCTGTCTTCTGCAGTTGACTCCCCATACAATCCATTTTATACTTACACCTTCACCTTGAGAAACTCCTCATGTCAACTTCCAGTCTTTGCAGATTACCAGCTAAATGTTGTCAACTTCATCCCAGGCATGAATAAGAATTCATTTATCTGACTTGCCTGGCTTTGGATGCAGGTCTTTTCCTCAGATTGAGTTGAAAGAATTGTCATTGCCTTGATCAAGTGTACCACTATTACCCTAATGTCCACAAGTTACATGTAGCTGGACAAAAATCCATTCCTCTTGCATACACATGTACATTGACATTCATAGTTTAGCAACTGGACTATCTGAATGACCAGATCCTGAGTACTTCCTAATTAAACAAAATACTTGTTTTAGAAGTGTACCTCTAGTATTCTGATCCTCTAAAGACAGGTGGTCTTGCTGTAGCATATTCAAATGGAACAAACTTTGCCCTCGCCACACCACCAAAAAAGTCACTCAAACCTGAAAAATATGTCAGGTGATTGGTGGCAGAAGAACCACTTCTTAAAGAATGAATTCTTGTGTATGATACTTTCAGCAAAGGCTAATGTTCATTTTTGTGTATTACAAATGAAAACATTCTAGGGCTGAGTCCACATTGTGTGGCTAAGTCCACATCAGTGACCGATGTAAATGTGGCATACGAACAGTAGATTTTAAGAAGTCCTTGCTCCTAGCTTGTGTCCTGAAATGGAAGTATTTTCAAATAGCCAGAGTTGAATTTCTTGGTATGTTGACAAGTCAACTGTTCTCACTCCTCTGCCAGGAATTTCATTCCAAACTCACAACAGTATTGGAATTTTAGGGGTCAAAGATTTCACTCAGTTTGAAGTACATGTATTCATACTGTGTTTGCAACTGCATACATTTTGGAGAAATAAGGTACGAGTAAAATTACTGAAACTTGGTTGGACCTTCTCATGCTGGATAAGGGTACTATTTAAACACTGACTTTTTACATCTTACATGTACATGTATATCAACAAATTTTTGTTTCTGATATTGACGAAAAAATCTACATGCACCAAGTTTGTACATGTATTGACTTCCATATTTCCCCCACTGAAAAACCAACTGACATAATAAAGCAAGAGGTATTGCCTTGGACTGAAGACTATCTGCTCCATGCAGGTCACATTTGTCAATCTCAAAGAAATTTTTCGAAAATTTCCAAAGAAATGAACTAGGTTTGTCTCAAACTCTAAAAACTGATGCAATCTACCTTGGTCATGGTCAGTGGTCTGGAAACTGCAGTGTCAGTAAGCCGGTGATTTAAGCTTGTCAGTTCATAAAATGGTCAGCTCAAAAATTACCTCACAATGGATAGGAAAAAATACATGTAAATCTAACTTCAGAGGTAGTGGATCTTATGTAGGGCTGCTAGTCTTTTTTCTTCTTTGAACATTGACATATTTTTTCCGCAGTTGATATTTCTAATCAGACAGGTTTTTCTGCATATAAAAAGCAAGCAATGTATTTAGTAAAAAAGCAACGGGTATTGCAGAAAAAGTGAGAAGCAATGAATGAGTCTTGCTTCCTCCATGTGCAATGCATTGCTTGCCAATTTCAGGCACGACAAATCCAACTGAAGTGATAAATGCCCACAGTAAGGTAGGGCTGGAATGGTAACAAATTTGATAAGTTGAAGTTGTTCCAGTGACAAGTAATAGTGTGTACTTGATGTGGAATAACTATTGGAAGATAAAGATGTTTATCAAAACAAGTAAGCGAATCATAGTCAGGGACTACTTGAGTAGCTTCAAATCTCCTTGGCTGAATTCAATTTTTGGTCACCATTTCCAACAAATAACAAACTCAGCATTGGCTAACATGGTGGTCTGAACTGTCAGAATCTGGCTTTTGGTCTTCATGCAATACATGTAAATGTATATGGATTAATTAAGCAAGTAGAAATAAAGTCAAAGGCATTCATTGATAGTGTTGTGTGAACTTGAAGCAGGACCCAGGAAAATCCATTAGATACTTGGCCAAAGTTCTTTCTCTTGTTTTTTAGTGCCTGTCGAAGCTGTTTTTGGTGAACTTGCTAACTGAAGTCCTTTCCTCAACCCCCTCAAATGGAAGGAACACGAAAATCATGCATATGCCGCACGGACTCAAGTGTCATTAGTCTTAGAAATGGTGGTTCCTGTTTGACTGAAATGTCTGCTTAAGAGCAGACATGTGCAGGCAGATAGTGCGATTCAGAAAACACTTTAACATGTTGGTTGACAGTTGTCAGATCTTTTTACCGCACATTTTGAGGTAAAATAAGACTGATAACAATTTCAGGGAACAACAGATGTTTGTTGCAGTATTAGGGTTTTATTGGGGCAGCAGTCAGTGTGACTGTGCAAGGCAGTGAAGACGGCACTGTGTGGCCTCTTGATGACAGCCAGTGAAGGAAACATGGTGTTATGGCGTGCTAATGCCTTCTTGCGTATGACTTGTGGATCATGTTTGTCCCTTTGAATACATGTGTGTACAAATGCATCATGCTATGTTGAGAGAATTGCACCCCCAGCACAAAGCCCAGTGGCTAATATGATGTGTCATGCTCTTTGTCAAATCATGTGCTTTTGAAAAGCTAATTTCATTCTAGCACGGAGTCAGTGAAGTTATATGCATTTTTTTTAAAGTACGGTTTTTCCTGGGCCTTGTTCAAGTTAGCATGTGAGCATGTGCAATATCTGTGAGTATGTAGACCAGTGTACACCAAACTGCCATGAGATTGTAAGGGTTTATTAGAACAACACATGAGGATGTAATTGTAAAGTGCATGAATTAATGAAAACTTCAATTAAATTTAGCATGGAGTACGGGACAGGCTAACCCCGTGTCATTGGATGCCACAGTTTCTATGAATACCGACAGGCAGATTGCTACCACATTGTCCACCAAGTCACTGAGCAGCACGGTTGCTCAGAAGGTACGACACACCAGGGCACAGCAGGCAAAAAGTACTGCTTTAATTAATTGAATACAATTGAAATGGAAATGTCAGCACTTTCATTAGTCCTTAATTTAATAATTTATAAAAGGTGGTCTCCAAATCAGCACTTTAGTTTTCAAGAACATATGTGGATACCTCTAAAAAAGTTGGCTGCATTTAAAAGGAGCAGTACATGGGAGTTTGGCCAGTTATTGAAAGTTGGACATTGACTTTTTCCGGAAAAGCACTGGGAGTCAGGGACTCGTTAGTTGAAATAGAAACCATGGGCAGAAGCTTGCCAATAGTTGCACGTAACAGGCAAAGTAAGGTCACAGTGACTGCTTTTGTTTTACTGAAACATGTTTTATTCATAAAAGTATCCACTTGCTTGGATATGTGCTTGTGGTTTGTTAATTACAATGTATTTCCCAAGCCACTTGCATTGTAGTGAATGAAATAAATGGTCAAACACATTGTTGAGAACTTAATACAAGTGATGTTATGTCATAGTNTCTTCCCTCAACCCCCTCCAATGGAAGGAACACGAAAATCATGCATATGCCGCACTGACTCAAGTGTCATTAGTCTTAGAAATGGTGGTTCCTGTTTGAAATGTCTGCCTCAGAGCAGACACGTGCAGGCAGATAGTGCGATTAAAAAAACACTCTCACATGTTGGTTGACGGTTGTCGGATCTTTTTTTGAGGTAAAATAAGACTGATAACAATTTCAGGGAACAACAGATGTTTGTTGTGGTATTAGGGTTTTATTGGGGCAGCAGTCAGTGTGACTGTGCAAGGCAGTGAAGACTGCACTGTGTGGCCTCTTGATGACAGCCAGTGAAGGAAACATTGTGTTATGGCGTGCTAATGCCTTCTTGCATATGACTTGTGGATCATGTTTGTCCCTTTGAATACATGTGTATACAAATGCATCATGCTATGTTGAGAGAATTCCACCCCCAGCACAAAGCCCAGTAGCAGTAGAAATTCACTCATGATATGCCACATTTTGAAATGCCAAGAGTCCTTTGGTCTTTGGTAACGGCTATGAGCCATGCACAGTGTAGTGTACCACCAAGTCCTTAAGGAGGAATTCATTCTTCAATTTCATGTGATATTCCACAGTTAATCTGTTCTTTACTGTTTACTAGGGTCACACATACTACATGTAACTGTCAGCTTTGTAAATGAAAACACATCCAACATTTCTCAGACATCAAATTATAACTTTTATTGTTGGTGACCCCAGTCAAACTTTTGCATCCTTATTTTGTGGGAACATCACTTAGAGCGGGGATGTTGACTGTTTTTCACATGTTGCACTGCAACATGTTTTTTCTTCGGTAACCCATATGAGGTGCACAGTAGCCTGAATCATTCTTGACATCATGAAATCTACAGTTAGCAAGTTTGCCACAACATGCAATCAACATTCCATTTAAATGGTGAACTAATATGATGTGTCATGCTCTTTGTCAAATCATATGCTTTTGAAAAGCTAATTTCATTCTAGCACGGAGTCAGTGAAGTGATATGCATTTTTTTTAAAGTACGGTTTTTCCTGGGCCCTGTTGAAGTTAGCATGTGAGCATGTGCAATATCTGTGATTATGTAGACCAGTGTACACCAAACTGCCATGAGATTGTAAGGGTGTATGAGAGCAACACATGAGGATGCAATTGTAAAGTGCATGAATTAATGAAAACTTCAATTAAATTTAGCATGGAGTACGGGACAGGCTAACCCCGTGTCATTGGATGCCACAGTTTCTATGGATACCGACAGGCAGATTGCTACCACATTGTCCACCAAGTCACTGAGCAGCATGGTTGCTCAGAAAGTACGACACACCAGGCAAAATGTACTGCTTTAATTAATTGAATACAATTTAAATGGAAATACCACCACTTTCATTAGTCCTTAATTTAATAATTTATAAAAGGTGGTCTCCAAAACAGCACTTTAGTCTTCAAGAACATATGTGGATACCTCTAAAAAAAAGTTGGCCGCATTTAAAAGGAGCAGTACGCAGGAGTTTGGCCAGTTATTGAAAGTTGGACATTTGACTTTTTCCAGAAAAGCACTGGAAGTCAGGGACTCGTTAGTTGAAATAGAAACCATGGGCAGAAGCTTGCCAATAGTTGTCACACTTGCATGTAACAGGCAAAGTAAGGTCACAGTGACTGCTTTTCTTTTACTGAAACATGTTTTATTCATAAAAGTATCCACTTGCTTGGATATGTGCTTGTGGTTTTAAATTACAATGTATTTCCAAAGCCACTTGCATTGTAGTGAATGAAATAGATGGTCGAACACATTGTTGAGAACTTAACACAAGTGATGTTATGTCATAGTTTTTNCAAGTTTAAGTCAAAGATCAACCATAAATGAGCTCAGGTGGTTACATGTACACCATGAATCCCATATCAAACACTTCTGAAAAGTTGCTTCAAAAGTGATCTTTGCAACACACAGCAAGCAAAGGTAATAAGTTGAAAAACACTTAAGTCCTTTTAAAACTTGTTCTTGGAAGTTGCTTCAAAAAATGGACTTTCTCAAATGCAGAGCTGGAATTTGTCGATAAAGAAATGGATAGAAATTAAAAAGTGCTTAGGAAACTACTGTGGTGACCTTTTTAAATTGAAATGGTGCCAATTAAAACAACAAATTGATGGAATGTTTATCAACTTAAGTTACGATACATCTGGTCCTTGAAAACCAAAATGAAGGGTGCAGTTTTTCACTTTGCCAAGAGCTTTACTCCTTTTTTCGACAAAATCTGATTTTGGAAAACAATTTTAACACCTGAACTCAGAAAGCTAATTGTAGTTCATTCCACTGGAGCATTAATTGGAAGCCCTCAGGGGATAGTTTGACCTCAAACAGAGGGTGAGAAAGTGTAGGGTAAAGACAGTAAAACTGACTGGATCTTTAACGTAAACAATCAGCAGATTTTAGAGTTAACCAGTGACAGTTACACACTATAAGGGACTAAGAAAACTGCCTAAGAATCAGAAGACATTTAATTTGTCTCAGAAAAGCAAACAAAATGTGACAAATTTGGGAACATATTTACAGGATCGCGACGATGATTACACTGTGAATAACTGAATATCAAATGGAAGCAATCGCAAGTTAGGCTGTAAGAACTTTCCTTTCTTTTGCAGTCGGAGTTGTGGAAATACATTGTCATCTGCTGCGTGGAAAAGTCAACCGATTGTTGGAGTTTATGGGATTCTTATTCATGTTGCAGTCAACTTGGGCATTTACGATCAGGGGAGTTTGTACACATCAAGAACAACTGATCATGAGTTAATGCAGTTGGCAACTCACTGGACCTGTTGGTGTCTGTGGGCGGGGACACGTGGCCCACACCAGGGAGGACTTGTACGCGCTAGGGTGCTTTTTAAAATGGTAGCTCTTTTCAAGTTCAAGTCCATTGTCAAGTTCAAAGTGAAGGTTAAGTTCGAGTTCAAGGTCAAGTTCAAATAAAAAAAAAGGTACAACAATGCATTTGTTTCTTTAACTTTTTTATTCTCTGTGAGGGCGCTACCATAACTTGAAGTTTGCCCAATTGAAATAAGTTTAGAACCTGCTTTCAGAGTGGCTTATGAGGGCGCTACAGAAAAGTCAATTTTCCAACTCGTCTATGAAAAGTCCAGTTTTGTCCACAGCACTTCTGTTTTTTGGGGGGGGATGTTGTCAGTAATATGAAAGATCATATAGTGCCATAAAAAGACATGAAAAATTGAAAAAAAGTATGTTTTATGGGTTTTTAACGGTGTACAAATATGCCAATTTGTGTTCGGGAATGGCTGCAAAAAGTTTGTAATAAAGTCTTTGTTCCCCTTTGTAGCAGTGTACCATCTGTGATAAATGCATAACTTATTTCAGGGATAGTGGGTCTAAAAACCAAGACCTAACACAGGCCTGCTGTCCATTCCAACCAAAAAACTTTAAAAATGCTGCACAATAAGTTGAATTTGATTTTAAAGAGACTGTTTTTCTTAGAGCTATGTTGGAGACGGCTAACAAAAGGCATCAAAGTTCTGAAATACAGTACCATCAATTGAAAGGAACATTGTTCAAATGCTACGGGAAAAGAAATCCTAACATTTCAAAAAACAAACTGTTTTTGCAGCAAAAATGTGAAATGGACAGCAGGCAACATCACCCACCAAATAAACTTGTTTTTTATCCAAACACAATTGATACAGATCTACACTAGCACATCACACAACTGTAGGAAAAACTTCATATTTCTTTTCGTTTAAAATAACTTACAAATTACTTCAACCAGCAGTAAAATACCATTTTTGGCAAGGTTTAAGTTGACTGGTAATACAGTCTTTTTTAGATGAAGGCTTTTAACTTCTAAACTTGCTATCACATTCTTAGACTGTTATCTTGCCAAAGTGAGAATGTAGTATGTTAATACCTTGCTTTGTTTTGCCATAAACCACTTTTAGCAAATCCAGTTGTAGAACCAAATAGGAATGTCAAATTAAATGTAAACACAAATAGTCAACATAATCGCTGATTTACTAAGGTTCTAAATCAAATGTATGTGTACGTGATGTGCTAGTGTAGATCAAAAAACTAAATACTGTTTATACAAAATACAAATTAAAGTAACTTAAAAACTAATGATCCAGGCACATGTCCTTTCTTTCAATGTGTCTTTTCTAAACTCAGTCATTCAAATATTTCATTGGGACCAAAAAGTAAAAGAGACCATAAACTCTTAGGTAAAAATCAACCAAGAGTGAATACTCCTGAGTTTATCTATGTGCACTCTTCAACTGAAAAATTAAATCATTTTTACTTTATTTCAATCATAAAGTAACATGTGCCTGGTTTCATTTCGTTGCATCAAAAAGTACAGCAAATCCATGGCATCATCATTTGCTTTAGTCTTTACTGAACTGTAATGTTCTAGTAGTATTGGTAGTTTCACAAAATTTTGGTCATTCTCGACGTATCCCAAAACAGGAGAACCTCTTGACTGGTGACAAGTGATAATTGGAGAGTTTCTACCAGACGACAATATATCTACCATCTAGAGATACATTTGTCAAACATTAATGCATGCATGGTGTCATTTCAATGCCATGGATTTGCAGTTTTCTTAGATGTTTGCAGCCAGTCTTAAAGAGGAGAGTTCCAAAGGGTTGACATCAACTTGAGGCATCAGTGATGGGGTTGTCATCAGAAGCCCACGCTGTCAGAAGATTGCCGAGGTGCTGTCAGTTGTCATTGTGACAAGTTAGCTTGAGGGGGGAAAAAGAACGGAAACATATCAGGAAGAGTACATTACATTTGCTTCTTGGCAGGGTACAGGATTTTGTCAGGAGAGTTGAATTGAGGAATGACTTGATTGGCCAGGCAGATCTGGCATTCTGGTATGGGAGAGGAGCCCAATGTGGATGTAACCTCCCTCCTAATAACTCACAGAGAGTATCCTTTGAATGAGGAAGCAATGAAGAGGAAACAACTGTTCAAGCAGTGTATGGCGATTATCTCTAAGCATTCATTATGGACACGTGCACCCTTGAAAGGCTGGCCATTTCTGCAAGCAAGGCCAAATCCGTCAATATCGGATATATATTTTTCCTCACTGGTTTTTACATGACTTCTGCCATATGTTTTTTGCATTATTTAATATGAAAGTTTCACCATGTTTTTGCAGCCGTATACTAGTTATCCTGTACCCTGCCTTCCTGATTTATAGCTTGTCCATTAAAATACAAAAAGAGTTATTGCAACATACGATATCCTTTCTTAAAGATACGGATAAAAGGGAACTTTAATTAACTCAGGAATAGTTTGATCCAGTTGGAGCAATGGATTTCTATTCAAACTTTTACAGCAGGGCAATATGTGGGAAGTTAAAA